CTTGTTTCTGGAAGCCAATTTAAGTTACTTAAAGTTGGCGTTTTCATTCGCTCTGCAAATCTATCTTGAGCCTTAGTTATGTGTTGGGTCCCGCGCTTCATCTGGAGCTGGTATCGACTAAATTCTTCCGAAAGCCTGACCTTAGGAGGCTGGGGGTCTAAGTGGCGGAAAGGCATGCTCAGGAATATTTGTAATTCAAACACTATGTGAGAAGGGTAAGAAAGGCAGAAGCATTCCGTTGGTAGATGAGGGGAGAGGGGAGAAGAAAGAAGGGGCACAGGAGGTGATAGTTGAGCAGGACTTGGAGGGCTGAGTGGGAGATAGATGGACAGAGCCGAGAGAGGGCAGTCGGTGCAGAGTGACCAGCACTTTGGAGAGGAGGGTTGGGGTCAGGTGCCTGCAAGGACTAGCAGCTTGTGTCCAGCTGGCTTGAAAACCACTCTCACAGAGGCCTGGTAGTTCAAGCTGGTGTCTCTTACCAGAGCCTTTTTACCATGTCATTTGCTTTGAGTACTGGAGAGCCATTGTGGAAGTAACTCTGTGACATTGGGGCATTAAGTATATTCATCTATTGGCCACTTGAAGAGAGACAAGAGGGAGACAACTGAGGCAGCAGTGCAAGGGAGAAGAAAGAAGTAACCAGGGCAATGGAGTAGGAGCCCTGGTGGTGTAGTGGTTATGTACTGGGCTGCAGTGTGCATGGTTGGCAATTCAAAACCACCGGCAGCTCCTCAGGAGAAAGACTTGGCTTTCTACTCCTGTAAACAGTTAACGTCTCAGAAACCCGCAGGGGGTCGCTAAGTCAGCATTGGCTAGATGGCACTGAGTTTGGTGTTTGGTCTTGGAGTGGGCCAGGTAAGAGAAAGATGGGAGCTGACTTCCTGAAATTTGACGATGTTGGGGACAAAGGCCTAGAGTAAAGACAAAATGTCAGTAAGGCTTTATTGAGTCCATAATTGAAGCCCAGGGGGATGGAAAGAAGCTGCTGCTTCTGTGCTCTGTGGAGGTAGGACAGGTCATCCATCCAGGCCTCCTGTTGCCAGGCACCAGGCTCGAGTACTGCTTGTGGAAGGAAGGAATATGGTGGGTATAGTTGGATCAGTGGTGAAGGCCAAAGACCGTAACCTTCAATATTCATTAGACTTGAACATGAAGATCTTCACAACCAGATGAATAGACAGCATCATATAAACTGGGAAGAAATTGAAGTTGCCAGTGATTTTACTCTACTTTGATCAACAATCATGAAAGCAGCAGTCAAATAGTCATTGGGCAAATCTGCTGCAAAAGATCACTTACAGATTCAAAAAGCAACGATGCATTTTCATAACGGGTGTGTCTGACCCACCCCCATGGTCTTTTCAGTTTCTGCATATGGAGGTAAAAATTGGATAATGAAAATGTACGCGAGACTAACTGGTGTATTTGAATGGAGCGTTTGGAGACTATTGAATATACCACAGACTGCCCAAACAAGAAACACGTCAGTCTCAGAAGAAATGAAACCAGAGTTTTCCTTGGAAGCAAGAATGAAGACTTGCTTACTTCCGCTACGTCATCCGTAAAGAACACGCACTAAAGAAGGACATTTTCTCTGATAAAGGAGCGAGACAACAGAAACATGGGACATGCTCAAGGAGATGGACTGACGTAGTTGCTGCAAAAAAAAAAAAAAAGACTCAGACATTTCAACCATCAGGAAGATGGTGTGAGAGTGGACACAGATGTTTGGCTCTGAGTAGTGTCCACATAAGTTGGAGCTGACTTGATGGAGTTACAACCAACATTAACAATTCAACGTCAGGTGATTAAGGGCCCGCCGGTCTAGGTTTGAATCCTGACCCAGCCATTCCTAGCAGGGTGTTCTCAAGCTACTGAACCTTGCAGTTGCTCTTCTGCAAAATGAAGGACAAGAATGCTATTTGGGGGGCTATGATATGATTATTCGTAACAATTGAATGAATTCCTTCACATAAGATATTTATCACAGTGCCTACTAGAGAGCTGAAATAAATGCTCATCAGACATTGGCTGCTGTCATTCATAGGGAGTGTAGATAGGAGCCTGTGATTGAGAGAGGAGTGATGATGAGGTGTTCGCATGGGAGATAATAGCCTTTGGAATGCTTGGGATCCATAGCTGATGGCGGGGATGCAGTATAGCGAAAGCTATCACTCAGAAATTGGCAGAGAAAGCTGGACGTGGTAGAAGTGAAGAGGGTCCAAGTTGGAGAGGCAAGAGAAGTGACCCTCTGCATTCAGTATTGGTGCTTGGGCCAACATTTTTAAAAATAGTGCAGCTTTTTAAGTTTTTCTAGCAAACTCATTGATAGGGTATATATGTCGTACAAGACCACCGCACTGCACAGGTCCATATAGTAATTCACCTAATTAGTTCCTGGTGCAGCAGAGTCCTGATGAGTAGCATATATAATGATGAAGTACAGCATGTAATACATACTAACTATAATCACTTATAGTATAATCACCAGTGAGTATTATGAACCAATGCTGTAATGTGCTCCATCTTCCTGGGAAGTATAGGTGTTTGTCTCATTTTGTAGCTTAGGGAGGCTAGGTAACTCGTTCAGAGTCATAAAGAAAACCGTCAGGTGGTGGAGCCAGGATTAAAGTTTGGCTACAGAACATGTGCTATCAACAGCTATATTACACTGTTTTCATTTCTTTTATTCCGGAGTTACATTCGGATGAGCACACGCCATTGCATACCGTGTCTGACGAAGCAGGAAGCACTAGAAAGTACAGTTGAACATGAAAGAGAGGCTTGATGGAGGCTGAGGGGGCAGTATGTCAGGGAGGGTGGGCAGGAATGGGGCAAGAGTGCCAGTAGAGAGTAATGGGAAATAACCCCATTTGCCCTCAGGAGACAGGAAGATAGGATCTGAACAGAGCAGGGGGAAGGACGATTTTGCAGAGGAGAGGGAGAACATTTTCGGAGGTACACGAGAGCTTCGAGAAGTTCATGGAAAAGCGGAATTAAAAGATCCTGGTGGTATTCCATGAACTTTTGAAACCCTTGTATCTTGAGGCAAAGGCAACTGCCATGGATGGTGAGAAGTTTTCAATGGATTTTCTTTTAATCCAAACCCCCAAACCCTTTATTTCTGCTTGATATGATTTTAAGATCAATGTTACTAAAATGCTCATAAAATGCAACAAACCCATACACAAACCCGAGCCCCCCACTCAAAGCAAAAGCCAAAACAAACAAACAAAAAATGTGCAAACCATATGCTTATATCCTGGCTGATAGTTCATACAATGAGACCATAATATTTTGAAAAGAAATATTTTAGCTCTATAAAATATTATTTACCTTGTCAGTAGTATATTGTAACAAAAGGAATTAACAATTTGTAATCAGTCTTCCTAAAGGGGGCATAATGATTAAGCACTCAACTGCTAACTGAAAGGTTGGTGGTTTGAACCCACTAGCCGCTCAGCAGGAAAATTAATGTGCCTGGTAGTCTCCTCTGTAAAGATTAACAGCCTTGGAAACCTTAGAGAGCAGTTAGTCCTACTCTGCCCTGTAGAGTTGCCGTGAGTTGGAATCAACTCAGTGGCAATCGACTTTGGTTGTGGCTTTTAGATAGGCATTTGATCGATATGTATAGACTTTGGCTGTGGTTTTTAGATAGACATTTGATCGATATGTATAGACTTTGGCTGTGGTTTTTAGATAGGCATTTGCTATATCTGTATAGTGATAATGTGAATAATAAAACCCAGCTACTAACACCCACTTATTACCATGAGCTGATTCCAACTCGGAATAAAATTGCTCTATAGTATTTCTTTTTAAAAAAATCTTGACAGTTTTATTGACATATAATTCATATAGCATGTGAATTAAATGGTTTAACGTACTAAAAGGAGTGCATTCATCACCACATCACTTTTAGAAATTTTTTTTCCGTTCTTGTACTCATTATGAATGACTCCCCACAATGGATTTTGCATGCCTCCCTCAGTGGTTTGATTTGACCTCATCCTATTGAAGAAAGGGGCAGGGAAGTACCAGGCATTAGAGGGGAAGGTGTATTGGCCTTGACAGATGCCCAAGGCACCCTTTGGTGAAAGTTACTGCCACCCGCTAAGGGGCGTGCTGCTGATTTGAATGGTGGCCTCTCAGGAGGAGGCTGAGGAAGAGGGTGCTGCCTTTGCCCTCTTGTGGAGATTTGCAGGCCTAGAACAGGGAGGACAGCATGAAGGGAGCAGAGACTTGAGTTTGAACGATGCCGAGTGACCCCTCCAAACCAGTCAGTCCACGCCCACCAAGTTTACCCTGGCTCAGGCCACCCTCTAGAACCGAACGGAACTTCTGGGGAGATGGCACTTGGTCAAGGAGTGTCCCTGCCGGGGCTTTCCAGTAACCAGATACCGAATTCACAACAGTGCTGCTTCAGCTGTCTGCGCAGAAAGACTCTTGTTCTTTTGATGCTGTGGGCTATGATCATGGCCATAAATGCCATCAAAAAAGAATTGCTAGAAAAAATAGATTCTATAAACAAGACTTTAAAAAAAGCACACAAACCCAGTTTGTTTTAGATTATGAGATCGTGCAGACACAGTTACTGTGGAATGGCTCAGGGCTGAGAAGGAGCTGGAGGTGTCAGGGATTGGACCAGGCAGAGGGCCTCCTGTTGCGGGGCACAGATGTAGCATGTAGCCAGCGGGGAGGGCTGCTCCCCTGGGTGCCGGGCCCAGGGCGTGGCACTTCACAGACACTCACAAATACACGCTCTCCTTCCTCCCTTTGAGAGATGAGTTCACTTTGCAGAATAAAAGGATACTAGTATGATAGCAAGTCTTTGAAAAATAAGCAAACGGTTCGCTTGGGGGTAGGCAGCATTTCTACCAGCCCCGTCTGGTGTTCTTGGTTTCAAATCCCACATCTTTGTAGACTGATCAGCACATCACGCCGTGTCCCCTGGGCCGTGTGCACACTAACCTGAGCGGCCATCATGTTCTGCTTTTTAGGTTGTGTCGACCGCTAAGGTGTGTGGAGCTGCAGATGAATCGCCCTCAGTGAAGCTACTCCGCCTGCTTGTTGCTGAAAAAGATTTTTCCTTTAAAGCTGGCCAGTGGTAAGTGGCTTTTCTGTTCACTGTGTATTGTCATCCAGAAGGTGTCACCTGACAGGAGGGATTATGTTCTTCCTTCCGAAGGGACTTTCGTGGTCAGCCATTTACCAGGGGTGTAGGATCCGCAGTCCATTTCCATTCAGGAGCAGTCTGTCTGGGTGTGTGGACTAGTATCTCTTCCCTGCCTTCAGCACACACCTTGAGCTGGAGCCGGCCGTCCTCTCTGTCGGATGTGAAAGCTGCTGCCTTGAGTTTTTCAGATTCAAACAAAGCAGCTCGTTCTGGTCCATGGAACTGACAGCTCTAATAATGACGTTCTGCGGGAATGGTTGCTAATAGAATGCACTGTAATAATGTGTGATCTGCCTAAGAGTTATGTGCTGCCGGAGAGTCATACGCTCTTACAAATCCGTCTTCGTTATGTCAAGCAGAGCAAACAAAGCCGTCTGCAAAGGAGAACCATTGTGTCCTTACGGAGGAGCTGACCACGCACTCTCTCTCAGCCGAGTTCCCATTTCATTTGCCACCATCGCTGACTTCCCTGTATCCCTCATACCTTGCCTGCATTGAGTTGAAATGTGTTGCCTAAATTTACCATTAGGATTCCCCCAACCAGGCCCAGCCCACACAGGCACACAAATCCTAAGTCTGGCCTCCCCCAACTCTGAGAACTAATTAGTATGCTGACAGGGTAACAGCCCAGCTGTCCCACTGTTCCTCCCAATGGCCTCCCTGAGCGGCAATTTTGTTGAATTGTAAATAAAGCAACTGTGTTTCCTTGGGATAGGTGTGTTTGGGTGTGGGTGTCCTTTATGTAAATAAAGCATTCATTTCTAACCGGATTTCTGGCATGTCAATCTTGACAGTAGCTCTTCTTCGGAGTCACTTGCCTAATTTTGGCGGTCCATCTGGAAATGTGGTTTTGTTAGAAGGAGGAAGTGTGATAATAGCAAGAGTTAGCAGTCTTGTGTTAATAGTTTGTCTTTGAATTTAGAACTAGAAAACAAGATGCTGATTGCAATAATTCGCTTTGGTGGGCAATTTGCTGCAATCTTCCACATGTTCGGTGATACATATTAAATGCGTGCATGCTGGGTAGGGGTGTCTTAGGGGGTAGGCTATAGATCTACCCTTCAAAAGTGTTTGGCAGTTAGGACAACTTAAAAGTGGGAACTTTAATTGAAATGATCTCTTTCTCCATTTGTCCCTTCTGTGGAAGTATTTATGTCCTGCTCAAAGCATTGTTCCTGTTCCTTCAGTTGTGAATTGTGCCAAGACTCCGATCCTGGTTTTCTGATTAGAGATATTGTGTGCATTGCTTGCAGTGCGCCTCCCACGGTGTGTGTGCAAATCACCCAAGAGAAGAATGTTATCATGTAGAAACAGGGTCCCATGGTGATTTGCAAGGTCAAATTCAGCAAGGTTGATATTTAGGTTCCCAGAACAGTTGAAGGATTGGTCGTTTCACCGATGTTAGGCTTGGGTTAGTACAAGCCTCATGGACTCCTGATTCAAAGGGCAGACTTGGATGGAAGTAGGGAGTCAGCACTGGCTGGTTCGCCTCAACCTGTTCCCTGCCAGGTGTTGGACAGCACTCACTGCTAGCACCTTGACCTGCCCTTGGCTTTGTAGATGAGATGTTGAGCTCCTCTGGACATTTGATCGTAAGGTTACAGAACAGCCATTTTGCTTAGGTCAAAGGTGTCCGTCTTTCAGGGCTATTAGCTAAGATGGTGTGTGCTTTGGACCCTCTTGGATCATCAGCTCAGTAGTAACCAACATGTGGCACTGTGGGGAAGAGAGTCAAGTGGCTGCGGCACAATATGTGCAGTCAGCGTGACCAGCAGGGAGATCTGGAGACAAAGGAGGGCATTGCTGTTGGGCTGATCTTTGGGGTGGGCTATTGGGCCTGGGTCCCCTGACTCTGAATTCTTGGCAAGTGGTCATCTCTAACACCCCCACAGCTCTGAGCATGAAGCCCAAGTCCAAACCCCATCAATAAAGGATTGCACTATGAGACTAGATGGAATTGTGGCCACCAAGCCCCATAGTGACACTTTCAATATAGACCAGAGGCAAGCCTCCACCACATTTCCTGTGCTGCATTGTCCCTGGGCCTGCAGAAGGGACTGTTCCCTGTCCCGGGAAACTCATGAGAAGAACTTAAGTAATCCAATTCAGACAGAAAGGCCGAAAGAGGAAACTCCTTCAAATACCATTCTCACAGGAGCCAGGCTAACTGTCTTGGGCTCCTCTTAGCAGTAGGTCCACAGTTAGCACTAGGCTCCATGGGGAGTCCTATTGTGGACCAAACCTCCTCCCTCATGGCAGAAGTAATGTCATTCCCCCACAGGCCTGGCGGTTCCACCAACAGTCTTCATATGGTGTGTGACCACACTGAGTTTCTAGTTCCAGTGTTCAGTGTGGAGCTCACTTGCCTTCCTTCTGGAATGGCTCTGCCTACTCTGGTAGTGGGCATCCTAGTAGCCCAGTGCTCCAGAGATAGACAGCCTGGGCAGTGGGTGCTTGCTTTCTACCTACTAGCTTGGATGTGGGCAGTTTCCTTACTTCTCTACGTCTCACATTTTTTATGTGGGAATGGAAAGCCGAAGTCTTGGAACAGTGTCATTAACATTTGACTGAAGATATTTTAAAAGCAGTTGCAGTTAAACATCAGGGAGGTGCCAGAAACTCAAGCCAGATTCAGAAGAGGATTTGGAATAAAGGACACAATTGCTGATGTCGGGTGGATCTTGACTGAAAGTAGAAAATACCAGAAAGATATATATGTATCCATGTTTTATTGAGTGTGTAAAAGCATTTGACTGTGTGGATCATTACAATTATGGATACCATTGGGGAGACTGGGAATTCTAGAACACTTGTGCTCAAGCGGAGCCTGTAATTAGACCTAGAGGCACGTATGCAAACGGAACAAGGGAATACTGAAGGGTTTAAAGTCGGGAAGGTGTTTTGGAGAGTTATAGACTGATACCATACTTACTCAGTCTCACGCTGAGCAAATAACTGAGGAAGCTTGGCTGTATGAAGAAGAAGATGGGGTCCGGGGTGGAGGAAGGCTTATGAACCACCTGCTGTATGCAAGTGACACAGCTGGCCTGCGGAAAGTGAAAAGGGCCCGGAGCACTGGGGAGGTTCACACTACCTGCCGTCTTCAGCATGGACTGTCACCCAAGGTCCAGACAGCCCACATCCGCACACAACTGCCCCAACAGACAACAACATGACGGATGCAGGAAATATGGGCGTTGTCAGGGATTTCAGACCACCTGGGTCACCACCAGTGCCTGGGAAAGCAGTAGTCAAGCATCAAATGATATATTGCAGTGTGGTTAGCTGTAAAAGCTGAATTTAAAGTGTTAGCTAAAGCAAAGAAGTCACTTTGGGGATAAAGGTGCACCTGACTCAAGCCAAAGTATTTTCTATCACTTCATACACATACAGGAGCTGGACAGTGAATAAGGAAGACCAAAGAATTGATGCATTTGAATGACGGTTTTTCATGAAAAATATGGAATATACTTTTGACTGCCAAAAGAACAAACCGGTATTGAAAAAGCACAGCCAGAATGCTGCTTACAAGCAAGATGGTGAGTCATAGCCTCCTCTCCTTCCGGCATGTTCTCGGGAAGAAGCCATTCCTGGAGAAGGACACGTGCTTCATCAGCTGAAAGAGGAGCCCCTTCAGCAGGACAGGTTAGCACCGTGCCTGCCGCCGTGACTTCTAACATAGCAGTGATTGTGATAAGGATGCAGGACCAGGCAGTGCTTTCTTCCAATACACACGGGGCTGCTGTGAGAGTTGGAACTAACTTGATGGCACCCAACCCACAGTGAGGTTAGTAGTAGTCCTCTGTGTCTTGGCATATGTAAAGTTTTAGAACAAGAACAACGCCTAGTATTAGTATTATTCGTTTTTGTTATTGTTGGTAAGCATTTCATTCAGTTTATCTGTGCTCCTAAGGCCCGTGGACAACTCCTATTTTTCCATTCCTTGGTCAGTTCCCTTGCACTGTATGCTGTTGATTTAAAGAGAGGCAGACCGGTAGGGCAAGCAAAGCCAGAATATTTTCACAGGAAGCAAAGAAATCCTCGGTTTTAAGGGCTTCACAGAAGATAATGATAACACTTCAACAAGCGGTGCTGGCAAAATTGGATTTCCATTTGCAGAAGAATGAAACAGGACCCATGCCTCACCTCATATACAAAAGTGAACTCAAGATGGGTTAAAGACCTAAATGAAAACCTCAGAACTATAAAGATCACCGATGAGAAAGCAGGGGCCCTAAGACAGGACCTAAACTATCAAACATAACAGAAAGCGCCCACAGCAGAAGACAATATTGATGGCTGAGACCTCCTAGAAATAAGACCTGTGTGCATCATAAGACTTCACCCCAAAATGAATCAGACGCCTCGGACCGGAACGAAAACATTGGCAATGGCATATCAAACAGGAGAGCGGTCTCTAAATTAGTCTTCATAAAACTGAAATGCCTCAATAAGCAAAGACAGAAAATCCAAGTCAGCGGTGGGCAGAGGACATGGACAGATAGTTCACCAAAGACGACGTTCGGGTGGCCACAAACACACAAAGAAATACTCACCATCCTTAGCTCATCAAGAGACACAAATAGAAACAAAGATGAAGAGACCACCTTACCCCTTAGCATTGATAGCGGACTTAAAACACACACACACACACACAAAATAAGGCATGCTGGAGAGAGTGTGGCAGGATTGGAACCCCCATACCCCGCTGATGGGACTGTCAAACTGTGTCAGCCCTGTGGAAGGCAGCGTGGTGCTTCTTCAAGCAATTGGAAATAAAGCAGCCCTGGCAGTGTGGTGGGTTATGAGTTGCACTGCTAACCCAAAGGTCAACAGTTCACAACCACCAGCCACTGCTAAGGAGGAAGATGAGGCCATCTGCACCCGTAGAGATTCATAGCCACAGAAACCCTGGGGGCAGTTCGCCTCTC